TCTGAGGCATTTTCTCAAAACATTTTTTTTCACTTGGACTCACATTTGGTGAGGGGTCGTCTGTGCTAGGAGTCATCCTCTTTATTCACTACATTGTTATTATTTCATAAAATGCAGTGATTTACAAAACAATTACTTCTTAAATCCTGCAAAGCAGAGCTGCTCTTGCAGGATTTTTGTGGTACAGTACTATTTTAGTTTTTTCATCCCTGTAAAACTTCTGAAAATAGATAAGGCCAAGCTACCCATGTACTGTGCCTGATGCAAAGTGAGCTACCGTAAACTGTGAGCATTTGCTAAAAATAGTTCAACTGTCTGGCATTACCTAGTGTTTTTATTATTCAGATTCTTGCAAATCACAGCTGATGTTTCACATAGTTTATATTTAATTATGAACAAATGTGTTGTGGGGACAGTGTAACTGAAGCATATAAATCGTTCGTGTCTTATAGATTCTTCTGATGCGGACAGATTGGAAAGATTCTTTGATTCAGAGGATGAAGATTTTGAAATCTTATCACTCTAACAAGAGAAACTACAATAACTGCCAATTTGGGTTGAGGGGGGAGGGGAGCTCCTTGGAGAGCGTAGGGATACCAGCTTTCATAGGTGCTTGTTGACATCCTTGCCTCCCATTTACCCCAGCATTCTGTGCAACCTTGGAGCAGAGTGGATTTTTGCAGTGGGATCAAGAAAACGGGTCATCATTAAGGCCTTAATAGCTTTAGTTACTTTCTCAGTGCAAGAACGGGATGCAAAGTTTCCTAGGAGCTGGAAATTATTTTCATAGGAACAGGCACAAAGGCTTGACCTCTACTAGTAAAAGCCCTTCAGTGTTTAGCTTAAGTCTCTCTATTATTAGGGAGTCTTATTACTTCTGTTCCCATTTTTACAGTGTGAAATGAAAACCAGCACAACAGGTGTGAGACAAGTATCTGCATTATGTCTCCCTAACCAGCTGGCCATATTCTGAATTATTTGGGGCCACAAGGTCTCAAGATTAACTGCACCAAATGTTTCAACTTGTACTTTAGATTTTCTCCAATACAGTGCTTCCATAGTTTTGGTTTCAAAGTTGCAATTTATTTTTTAAAATATAATGGTCTGCATTCTAGCAATCACAATAGCATATCATATGGAACATGTTAAAATATGTTCCAAAGATGACAAGAGAACATCACTATATAATAATATGAAAGGCCCTCACAGTTACTCACTTGATTCTTCTCATAGTTGCACAAACAGAATGGTGTTATTCAGATTTTGCTTCATTATACCTAATTTTTGTTTGGACCTTTTTCTATTTTGTATTAAAAATATGGCTGCTATTTAATAAAATGAGGTGAAAACATCCATTAGCTCACAAATTAAAAGTACTGATTCCTCCTTTTAATAAAGTTTAGACTGTACATGGACACAAATCTTGCATTAACAACTATTTTAAAATAATGATTTTAGGCCAAAGGTGTGTTCTCATCTCCCCCTTTGTGAAAATACTACAGAAGACTATTTATATTGTATGTCTTTGTTTTTCATTTGTTTCAGTTCTTAACATGAAATTCTAAAGAAACTTAATGCAAATTCTGCATCCCTTAAATGATTAGCTTTCTGGCCAGGATTTCCAGCCAATTATATTCCAAAATAGCAGAAGAGCTCCTGTTTCTAAAAGGTAGGAATGGCTGGGAAAAACACCATCAGTTCCAAGCATTAGCTCAATCAATGGATGTTGCAGTAGCAAATATGTTTACAAAGCATTCTTGCCTGCATTTATAAGCAGAACTGTCAAATTACAGATGGTACTATAGCCATCTATAAAGTAACTGCATATAGTAGGTCCAGTTGCCTATTTAGCTACTAGAAATCAAATTTGAACCATGATGCTTATTTGTCATTGTTATAGCTTGCTGTGCTGCTTCTTTTGGAAGAAGAGCATAGTCGGATTGTGTTTCATTCATCAACTGCTTTCAATTTGTATCTGAATAAAACAAGTTTAAAAAGGCTTTTGTATTCCTGGTACTTTTTTCTGCACCACTGATTGAAAGTAAGATAAACATAAGAGAATCATAGAGCTTCTTTTAATAAAAGCTCTATTGTGTATTTAAAAAATGATACATATTCTGAATATTCCAATACAACTTTTCCCAATCTAGGATATAAGTGCTTAAGCATCCTCATTAAACTTTGTGCAGACGTAACACTACCAGTATATACAATTGAAAATATGATTGACACATACAGCTTTAAAAGAACACAAGTTAAATTATACAAGCTTTTAAAGCCTCTCTTTAAAAGTAGGTGGACAAATAATTGAATTTGAAGAACACAGCACTAAAAACTACACACACAATTTAAAATTTGAATACATAATTTAAACACATTAAATATAAATCATATATAACTCATTAAAAAAGTACCAACAAGAGGAAGGAAAATAAGGCAGCTCCTTCCATGTGTCAGTACAGATTTGTAACTATGACCAAATCACTCTGAGGACTTTTCAACTCAGACAATGGAGGAACACACTCACAAAAATTAAAATCAAATCCTAATTACCTAAGAATTCTATAGAACTTGGGGAAGTTTAGCCTCCAGTGAAGAAAATATGCTGAAACTCTTGCACTTCTAACTCAAGTTTTTAACTATTATTAACTAATTAAATGAACACCAAATACAAAACTTCCTGGAGATGCTTTGCAAAAAATTTAAAAGGATTAAAACAACATAAAAGAGCTAAAACAAGGAATCAGCTATCCTCTTCCAAAAAAGGGCAATGAAACAAATGCAAACCAAACTCTTAAATCATCTTGTTATTCAAAAGAATTCAATCATTTGTTTTCAAAAATTCAAATGTGGCTTGAAATTGGAATGGGAGAAGTCCTTTATTTTAATAAAAGATTTAATAGATATGTCTGAGAGAATTGGCAAATATTAGATATTACTCACCAAGTGAAGCTTATAACTTAAGTGCTAAAATGCCTGTAATGTACAGTAGATTCAGCAGAATAACATTGAGGTTAAAATAAGAGCAAATAAATAGCAAATTTTGAAGTTTGTAACAAATGAAGCAACCTCTGTATGAGGTATTAGCAAAAAAGTGAACGATGCAAAGACAGGTAGTCCTCAACTTATAGCAGTTCATTTAATGACCTTCAAAGTTAGAATAAAGTTAGAAAAGTGACATGACCATATTTCAGTTATGACTTTTGCAGCATCCCTATGATCAAAATTCTGACGATTGTCAACTGGTTCATATTTATGACCATTGCTGTGTCAAGATCATGTGATCACCTTTTGCGACTTTTTGACAAGCAAAGCCAATGGGGAAGCCAGATTCATTTAACAATCATGTTACTAACTTAACAACTACAGTGATTCTCTTAACAACTGGCAAGAAGGTTGTAAAATGGGACAAAACACACTTAACTATTGTTTCACTTAGCAACATAAATTTTGGGCTCAATTGTGAGTGTAACTCGAGGACTACCTCTAATTAGGTTATCTCACTTCAACCGTTATGCTACAAGAAGCTTATAGGGCAGTTTTAAAGATAATTTGGGGGTGGGATTTGTGTTTATTAAGAGTTAGATAATTTACAAATTACTATTGCTTCAATCTATATTCAGCATCTGTTTAATTATTGAAATATCAGTGGTTGCATTATGTGTGAATAATACAATTCAAGGAATTAAAATAGAGGGGAAAATTATTGATTGAAACTAATTGCTAATTATTATAATCCTCTGTAATGCAACATATTCCTGCCTGTTTAATAAAAAAAACAAATTTACTTAAATCTAACAATTTTAAAACTATAATAGTCAGGCATGATATTCCGCTTTGAAAAAAAAATCGGGGCCGGCCAAGAGACCCCCCGCCGCACGCCCGGGGAGCGCCCGCTGCTTTCCCTCGCCAGGGCCAGGAGGTGGCGTGTTGCACGGAGGCTGGTCTGTGGCTGGCCCAGCTCCCTTTTCCTGCCGCTCAGCGGCCTCCGCTCGCACCGCCCGGGCTCTGCTCAGGTATCCGGCTGGGGCTGTCAGGAGTTGCTACCGCCGGCGCAGCTCCAGTCCCGCGTTGTCTCGGGAAGGGAAAGGCAAAACCAGGAGCCGCTGCTGCCGTTGCAAAGCGCCGCCGCGCCTCTTCCTTTTTGCCTTTCCCTTCCTGAGGCAACGCGGGACTGGAGCCCCGCCAGCAACTCCTGACTCGGGGCCTCCGAGGGGAGGGGAAGGAGGAGAAGAAGGGGGGAAAGGGGGGGGATTCCCAAAAAAATCGGAATTCCGATTTTAATCGGAAGAATATCATGCCTGAATAGTATCGCACTCATATTCACGTAAGGAAAAATTATATCCATTTTAGAAATTCCATTTGAATATAAAATCAATCACAAAAAATGTAAGAAAACAAAAATATAAGAATTAACATATTAAAAATTTTAAATAAGTTGTTCAATAATAATTATGGCTTTGCTTGGGATAAAGTAAGAATATAAAAAGGTGGAACAGAAATTATTTTAGGATTTTAGGCCATATATCAGCAATTAAGATATTATTCCCAAAATTGATCTAGTTCAAACTCTTCCAATAGATATTCCTGACAAAAGTTTTATCATTTGGGACAAAATAAGTTTATTATTTTGCTCTAATTCAATATACAATAGAATAAAATGTTAATTTAAAATGATGCTACCAGATTTTTGTCTTCCAAAGACTAACCTGGTTGTCTTCATACAATGCTTGAAACAGTCTTTGTCAGTTTGGAGAATGATTAGCAGCCTCTATACATGCAGACACTATTTTAAGCTGTTACATCAGTGGCATCAACTTCCTTTAGAATCTACACCCCCCACACACCCACACCCATTAATATTGTTGATACCTCAAGTTATTAAATGTCATTACCCAAACATGCAGGAAATATTTTATTGATTTACTTACTCTACATATTACAAATGCAATATTACACACGCATTAAAACCTTACTATAATGAGAAAAAGTTAATTTTATTCAATATCTTTATAGAAAAACTATAGTATTGAGCATATCAAGTCTTATCTACAAGGAATATAGAAGATATTACTCTATTCATGCATTTTTTTTCCAGATGTGAGTCCCTGCAAAATTGCTTTCTAACGAAAGGAGAAGCTTCACTCTTTGTAGAGGATGGAACTAATAAATAGTAAAGATTAGCAAATGAAACCTGCGTGGCCTCTCAAATATAGATACAGAAACGCTGGTTCACCGAATATGTGAATGCAAATAGTGCAGAATGTGATTATATAAGCCCTGTCTTTTAGAAGTTAAGTAAATTTCATTTCCACAGTTCTCCGAGAGGTTTGTGCTGAGCTTCTTGCATAGCCTCTTCTGCAAAGGATTTAATTTCTTTGTGCAAATCTTCTACACTCTTTGAAGCATCAATCAACTATATTAGAAAAACAAAACATACATGAATGAATGAAACATTCATAAATGGAACATTTATTATTCAACGAAGAAAAAAGTGTCATTGAATGAATGCCCTAAATTCAGCTTTTCAGCCAGAGATAAATGATTCATTCCATCTTATGGTCATAAAATTAAAACAAACAATAGAGTTAACTGCAAGTATTACCAGCTAATTCTATTTTTTTAATATTTAATTTCTTACCTTCCAGTTTAAAGATTTATCTTTTATCAAATGGTAAAAGCACTGTAGAACTTTCTCCTGAAAAGACGTATTCTCATAGCGTTCGTTTCCAAATTCTCCCCGTTTGGCTGCTTCCGATGTGCTCAATTGAAGAAAAAGTATCAAATCTGGCTTTGGAAGCCCCACATCTGGTTGCTTACACCATTCCAAAGAGAAGTTCTGTTCAGAGAGAATTAAGAGCAGTAGTAAATAGTTAAAAGTAAACAAAGAACTATTTGATAAGATTATAGGAACATAAATTATAGTTCTATTTGTTCACTATTGTCCATAATTTCAGTTCTCAACAGATACACATTGTTGCAGCATTTGTATCTTTTCGGTTTATATCTTGTACAAATATTTGAACATAAGAACTTTAACAGGTGTGCTACAAACTACTATCCTTCCCCAAGGATATTGTCTATTCTACTAAAATTCCCATCATATTTAGATACTCAACTATGACTTTTGAGAATAGTAGCCCTAATGAGTTGTTGATCAAAGAAGTCTTCCGCTTTTTCAAGGGTATCCAGCCTAAATCTCTTTTTCTGCCATGTTACCCACCTAAAATTTACATTATATTTTATTAATTTTGATGTTAGAAAATGGTATGGCCTCCTTAGATCTCTTACCCTCTTTGGAATTTGCTTTAAGACAGTTGTTTACCCGCATATTCAAGTGGTTCATATCTTGTCTTATGTAAAATTTTGTCTCGCATGGATTTTTTTGACTAATCTGATATGGACTTCTCTTGGGAGGTTAAGCTTCCTTGCATAATTTGTTTGAATGCTATAGAGTTTGTCTTACCTCTGTGAATATCTCCTCCTTATCTGTCCCTAATATCTTTGCTAGTATGTGAGCCATCACTTCCAATAAATTTTCTCCTTTTTCTTCCTTCACATTTTGAAATCTTAGGGCTGCCTTTTCTACTTCCAAAAAGATGACCTTTGTCTCTAATTCCTTGTTAGCTTTTTCTAGTTTATCCGTTAAGTCATCTACCCTTTTTTCTTCTTTACCCATCTTTGTCTCAATTTCTACATTTTTTCTTGATTTTTCCTAACCTCTTGTTGAAAAGCTTCAAATTTTTCATCTATCTTTTGTATCTTTTCCTTTAATTCTGATCTCACCACCCCTATCTCATTCGTCATATCCTCATGATTTTTAAGCATCATCTCTTGCATATTCATCATTAAACTTTGTAGGTCTTTTATAGTGCTTGATCTTTCTTTTGGAAGCATTTCATCAATAGCCCTCTGTGTGGAAGGGCTTGCTGTAGCTGTTGTAGTCATCGTTTGTGTGGGTATTTTCCTAACTGTACCAATCCTAGATACGTTTGAGGTGCTTGACATATTAAACAATCTTGTCACTATATTATTTTTAATCCACCACTCCTACTTTTTCTCCCTCTTCCCCAATCCCTCCACCTCCCCCACACTTCACCCTCCCTCTCTCCCTTTTATTTCTTTCTTCTTAATAGCACAGTATCACTATAATTCTCCTGTTATCATCCTCCAGTAATCAATTTCTATAATAATCTATAGTAACTTTAAATTATCAGATCTCTCTATTTAGTTTCCTTTAAATCTATAATACGTTAATATTAACAGTAATACTATAATATCTTAATCAGGATTATAAATTTATTAAGTAAGTACTTTCAAAAATTCTATATAATATATACTTTATAACAATAATACTTTGTAATAATATTAAACCCATATTGGAAAGTCCATTAACAAATATTTAAGTGTATCAGTTTTTCAAATCTCTTAAACCACTTAACATTTTTTATCAGTATATTGTCATCAAAGAAAAAAAGAAAAAAAAGAAAACAAAAACAGGGAAGGGAAGAAGGAAAGGGAAGGGAGAGGGGACAGAGAGAGAAAAGGATAACTAAAGAATTCAATTTCAAATATATGATTATTAAGGAAGACACCAATAAGATTTATCACTCTGAGTCCTTTCCTAAGATGTCTTCACACTAACAAAAAGAGAAAGAGAGAAAAAAAAAGATCCAGTACTCTAACAGCCACTCTCTCCTCTTTAACTTTGTTGCAAAGAGTCATTGTGTATCTTCCGTCCAGTCCCCTCTTTTTTTCACCTCCCTGTTACCAGTAGGTGTCTCTTTCACGATACAGTGTCTCTGTCTTCTTTAGATTCGCTGTGTCACTCTCCACCCTGCATCCATTTTCTTAGGGAAATCTTTTTTCTTTTTAAGTCCCTCCAAAATCTCAATCTAGGATGCAACAAGGAAAAGTAAGCAAAGGTAAACCTCCAGTCCACCGTTAACGATCACCGCTTCCACCAGTCACCTTTCTAGTTTTATTGTCCATATCAATCTTACTTTCACAGCGTCCATCCAAAAAAAGACTCCGCTATCAATGTTATGTCCAAAAGGTTATTTTCTTCCAATCGTGTGTTCCGATCCCGGAACCAAACTTAAAGTTTAAGCAGCCAATTATTTCTTCACCCCGTCTCTCGTTTGGCTTTACAGTAATCTTCCAATCGTTCTGTTCGTCATGTGTCTCGCCGCTCTGGCACCTCTTCAACTAGAGCCAACTCCGATAGCCAAGCTATTTTTCAATATTATTGTGTTACGCCTCCTCTTCAATTAATTTCTGATTCGCTTTCAGGTTGTTGCTTTTGTTAGTTTAACTGTACCTTCGTTCCACTAATTCATCGCTTGTATGACCGGCTGTCAGCGCTCATGGACGGCCATTGTTGGTCGTCCGCTTCACCGTTCGCTCTCCCTGCTTTACCCCGATTTCCACCACAGACCACCACCCGTAGCTTGTCTTTGGAGACCCCACTCCTTTGGAAGCCCTCCGAGCGTCCTTTAGATTCCGTAGAGTCCCGCAGAACAGGGATAAGGGTCCGCGTTTTGCAGAGCTACCTGCTCACACATCCCTTCTCCCTGAAAGCTGGGTCCATCCTCCCTTAAAGTTAAAATGGATTTCCTGCCAAAGCCTTTACACTAACAAAACTTTGCAACACTGCAAATCTATAAAAAATCTAATCAGCAAGCAGAAAATTGACATAAACTATTTGATTTCCAGAGACTCCTGCTAGAAAGGGTAAAGTAAAAAAATGATACAATGCTAGGCATTTCTGATTTACTCACTTCTTTTGCACCTGTAAAGGCTACTCCAGAAAAGGCGTATCTGTCCACTATTAGAGTGATACCTTGGCTTAATTTTTCTTTAATAGATGGCCTGAACAAGAGAATGGCATGTTATTTACCAAAAATAAAAATAGATTAAGTTACAACAATAGCATTCCATGACTATTCATTTAGTATGCAGGGGAAGGGCAATGTTCACACATCTTAGGGAAGAACTCCAGAAGCAAGTAATGGTACAAAATGGGAGATTTCAGTACTTCTACTTTATATAATTACTTTAAGATTGCACTGTTTCGTAACATCTTTTAATATAATGGAGATAATATACTAAACAAATTAGGCTACATCAAAATTATAACCAATTATAATTAGTTTTTATTAACTCATTGGACAATTTTTAAAGGCATAGTCACTGGCACTTGGATAGCTCTTTAAGGACAGTAAAATGTGTTTTGCTAATATCATAGTTTTCAGTGTCTTCATTTTGTTACTAACAGTTTAAAAACTATATTGTTTTTGAGAGTCAATTTAATCAGTTGTGGGACTCAATTTTTTTTACTACCAGTTCTGTGGGCGTGGCTTGGTGGGTGTGGCAGGGGAAGGATACTTTAAATCTCCAGTCAGAAGTGGTATTTGCCGGTTCTCCAAACTACTCAAAATTTCTGCTACTGATTCTCCAGAACTGGTCAGAACCTGCTGAATACCACCTCTGAATTTGATGCAGTTTTATGACTAGAAATTGAGAGACCATGAATTCTAGACCCACCCTAGGCATGAAACCAGCTGGGTAATCCTGTGCCATTCTCTCTGTCTTAGGAAGGAGGCAATGGCAAACCACTTAAAAAAACACTTGCCAAGAAAACTGCAAAGACTAGTCCAGGTAGTCTCCAGGTGTCAAAATATATCAAAGACACAAAAAAATAATGAGTCTTTACAAGAATTTCAGTAATTTTTTGGGGTGTTTATATAATAGGTTTATATAATATTGTACCAGAGTTGCAATCTTATGGCCTATGTGTTATAATTCAAAGTTAATTTCGTCCTCTTCTCTTACATTATTATGCCATTCTGTACCATATCTGTGCCAGGTTTAAATGGGTTGTAAAATCTACTTTTTGGTACAGTAAAATCTAACTTTTGGTACAGTATAATTTAAACGTGTGTTAAATATAGTTTGCACCTGTTGCATTGTTATTCTAGAACATTTCTTTATTTCAAATATTTTACCAATATTTCTATACCATAACTCTGAAATTTCAAAATCTTGACAAGAGATAGTATTCTTTTCCTGATTTTGTTCCCTGGTTACCTTTCCCATCCTTTTCAGGAAATATGCACGGAACAATCCTATCTGTGCTATTAGAGAACTTTTTAGGGTAGAAATAAGCAGAAATAATCTGCTTTATCTTCCCAGAAATAATGCTCAACCTCTTGAAATAATTCTGCTTACATCTAGTAATTTAATTACATCTAGTTTATAGTAACAAGTAGTTAATAATAATCAAATTCCAACCTGCCTTTCATCTTTTTCTGAAAAAAAAACTCCTGATATTTCGAATGTTGTTGGGAGAAGGGGTTTTATGTCCGATTTCCTTCTTTGAAATCAGAGCTGCCTCTTCAACCTGAGAAGGGCATCTAAAAATATTTTGGATCTTGGAACATTCTATACAGACCATAGGATTGCAGCCTAACACAATATTTGAAAGTCATACATTCATAATTTCCCCGAAGTAAAATGTGAAATCAAATTGGATTTAATGGGAAATATTCGGACCCCCTAGTACTAGACAAAAATTTATCTTACACTTGCTCCCAACGATTAGCAGAAAACAGTAGATGCACTGTGTGGTCCTCCAAGTTGTTTTTCTTTTCCAAGTAAGAACTTATTAGCTTTCCAGTTTCTGTTGATCTTTCTGTAATAAACAAAGAGGAAAAATGAAATATAACACATTTCTTCAGTGTCTGCAAATTCTTTCTTTTTAAACATATAGCACGTGCATTAAATATGCATTCGATAAAGTGCAACTGCTTTCTCTGATAATTTTCATTTCTCTCAAAATTCAGTTGAAAGTATGGCATGACTTCAATATGCAATTAAAGTACTATTAAGTATAGTACATACAAAAACTATGACTAAGTCTGCATGTTAGTTAATTACACTTCATGTCTTGAAGTGTAAGAAATAAAACTGTATGTGCCTTTTCCCTCTTTAGTGCCATAATCCAAGTAAACATGCAAACAAGATCTTAATGGAGTATTTAAATATTGTATATACAATGGTGTCTTGATACTCAACTGCTTTGAAACTTATCAAATTTTGTAGTCAACACATTTTGACATGAAAATTTTGTCCTAGTATTGTTTGGTACTCAATGCACAAGTTAAAATTTGTGTCAGTGACGGCTGCCTTGTGATTCACTGCATTATTCTTTATGGAGAAAATTTGGTACTCATCATTTTTTGTATTCATCAGCCTCCTGGAACCAATTATCAATGAGCAACAAGGCACCACTGTACCAAATAATCTGCAGTGGAAATAAAGGAAACATTGTTTAATAACTCACTAGTAGGCTGAAAACGATTAAATGTAAGCATATTTTGTACAGAACCAGCTGCTGAAAATGCGTGTTCCAAGTGTTCCAATAGAAAGAGCTTAAAGAAAAGCTTAACAGTGTAGGACAGGATTACTTTTGAGTATTTATTAACTATAGATTAATCAGATTGTAATAAACCATAGATGGTGAACAACACTTTCCCTAGCAATAGAACAATCGCAAAACCCTTTTAGTGTTACCATTTCTTTCTTCTACCAGTTGATCCATAAATATAAATTCCATAATGTCATCTAAAGCATGCTTGTCTGGTTCTGAAGGGCTGTACCGAGTTTCAGTCTGCTCTGCGACATTCTATGACATTCCTGCATTGTGTATCCACGCCGAGGTCTGCATTCCACTTACCGGGAAATCTGAGAAGTTCGGCCTGGTGCCCTCCTGCCCAGAGGGCCTCCACGAGCCTTCGGCTCTGTGTGCTTTTGCCTGCTCGGTCGACCCCCTCCAGGACAATCAAAGCCCCTCGACGGCCCGCCATTGAAAAACCCTCCCAGTTTCTATCCGAAGCGGGCGTGGGGAGTCACCGAACTTCCAAATTCCCGCGCTTGAGTCATAGAAATGATCCCTCCGGGGCGCAGAGCGGCCCTACAGTCGCCATGGTAATCAAATAGGAAGGTGAAACCGGAAACGCACGAACATTTTCTTTACACGAGGTCCTGGAGAAATACCAAGAAATAAGATTGACCTAGAAGAGGGGGAAGAAAAAAAAAACACCTGAATTTCCTTCTGAGCACCAAGAACTGCGAGTTAATTAAAAGTGCGAGCAGGGAAGCCGGGTGCTTCGTCGGCTCTTCTCTAGGCTCGCTTTTTAATCTCTTAACCTACAGCATTTATTAACCGCCAAGTCTTTTGGGGGCTACGTTGTAGAAAATTTCAGTGTAAACAGACCGTCCCAATTAATTTGTAAGGAGATAGGTGGAAGCACCTGCTGCGAGATAGGTTTTAGAAATCATTTTTTAAAAATTCCTAAATGAAGGGAGAAGCGATCGCTGAAGACTCTCGTATGCAGCATTTTAATTTAACGAGAGAACGTCCCATTTGGATATATTTCCGAGGATTTTTAGTCATGCTTAGGTACACCAAACCTCTGCTTCGGGTGCTGAAGGCCGAGTACGTGGCATTCCCTCACTTATCCCCACAACAACCCTGCGCGAGATTGGCTGGCTCCAATAAACCAAGCGAGTAATTGAAAGGACTACATCTTTTCAAACCATTTCTGCAAGTTAACCATAACAAATAAAACTTCTCTCTCAAAATCTTAAAAAAACCCCTTCAAGGTAGCATGCTTTGGTTTATAATCAAGTCCGTTGTGAAAAATTTCTGTTTTCACTCCAGGGATTGACAAACAGTGCGCAACCCCATTTTAAGTTCATTTCCTCTGTTGGCGTGGTTAAAGAGAAAGGGCACAGGCCGGAACAGGGATAAAGGGAGAACTCTTTACTTTGAAAAAGAAACACGAATACCCTCAGAGGAGCATGAAACATTAGCCCAAAAGACTTAGAGGCGAGAACGTTAGGCATCCACGCTGCGTTTGATATTAAGCAAAAGGCCTGAAGGGAGATACTGTTTCCTTGCAGGCGCGCCCCGGAGCCATGTCGTGCAAACTCTCCAGCGTCCAGCCAACTTCGCCCGCTGGGGGAGAAGCTGTGTCCGGACAGCTCCCGGCGTTCCAGTCCTCGTCCCCGCCTTCTCACTGATAGGCGGCACGGTGGCGGCGCGACCAATCGGTGGCGGCGCCTCATGACTATGCGATAAAAGCTTGGCCGGCCATCGCAAAGGCGCTGGGGTGACAGCGCCGAGCGCGCGACGGCTGAAAGGTGGGCGTCGGCCGGTTTGGTTGGCGGTTGGCTGACTCGAGATGGCGGCAGCGGCCTTGTATTTGGAGCACTATCTGGACAGTGAGTGAGTGCGGCGTTGGGGCGGGTTGAAGCGCCGCGTGGTCTCGCCGGCTGTTACAGCTGCGCCATAGCCCCGGTGTGCGTGTTGGTGCGGGGATAAGATTGGGGGGGGGGGTTTCAGAGGAACTAACCGGCGTGGTATTTTTGCTGCGTCACACTTCTTAACTGCGCGCCGAAAAAGACGTTTAGCCGGGTCAGGTGCTGTAGTTGATGGTCTTCGCCGGTAGGGGCCGCTTCGGCGCTCCTCGCCGTCACTGCCACCTGTAAGCTTGTTACGCAAGTCTTTAAACGGAGAGCATTTTCCCGGGTGACAGGCCCCATCTTCTCTCTCGACAACCTCGTGGCCATGAAAGTACTTCCTTTTTATGCCTCGCAGCAGGCCGGCGCAAGACAGTTGCTTTAAAACAGTTTGAAGAGCAAAAGCGAACCATCTTTTACCGATTTCTCTCTAAAAACAATTGATCCGTCGCGGATTTTTAAAGCGAACTTGCCGCCTTCTGACTGGCTCAGAAGAGTTCGACAGAAAGCTTCCTTTCAGTATCCAACACCGACTAGAGACTTGTGCAAACGTCGAAACGAATGCTATCAATATTGAATTCAGAACTGCAGTGAGGAAAAACTCAGAGGAAAGAACCAGAAGTCGGCTTACAGTCCAGCTTTCACCATCTACAAGTAGTCCTCGACTTACGACTGCTCATTTACTGAAGTTATAATGGTGTTTTTAAAAGGGGATTTATGGCCGTTTTTCACACTTACAACATTGAAGCATCCCTTTAGTCAAGTGATCAAAATTCAGATGCTTGGCAGTTGGTTCATATTTATGACAGTTGCAGCATCTCAGGGTCATGTGAACCTCTTTTATGACCTGACAAGGAAAATCAGATGGGGCAAAACTCACTTAACAAATGTTTCACTTGGCAACATAAATTTTGGGCTCAGTTGTTGTCAAAAGTTGAGGACTACCTGTATAAAGATTGAGTTGAGAATCCAGTCTGCCCCCCTTGTTAGGCTTATCCTTATACCTTCATGGATGTGGATGCCTCATATCCTTGACTGGAGGAAAGTATGGCCCTACAAATACATAGTGTTACAGCTCAGGCTTAACATGTTTCATCATTAAGAGTTCTCTGAACTTGATTTGGGGACTGCAGATTTTGAATTATTGCATTAGAAAAGATCAATGGAGAAGTTTTGAATAAATGGAAGACAGATCCTCCCCCCCACCCCCCCAAAAATCTCTTTGTACCTTCTTTCTGCAACAAGGGATATACTGCTGCCTATACTGTATAAAAATTATCAAAAGCAGTGATTGATTAGGCTTAGGAAAACCGTGCTTGCAACAGGAAAGATGTTGTGTCCTGCTTTTCTCCAGCCCTGAACATGCACTAAACTAGGGTTGAGACTAAGTAGCCTATCATCTTATTATTATTGGCCATTTTTTATTTTTCCAAAGAAATGATTGTTTTATTATATGAAAACTGAGATGAAAGATTGGGGGGGGGGGGGGGGGGGGGGGGGAAAAAGTGAGATACAACTTTGAAGCAAGCAACTGAAATAATGTGCAGTACATTGAATTCTCTGAAACTCACATTTCTATTAGAAAAGGGCAGCAAAGCAGAACCCAGGAATCAGCCAGGCAGTGAGTTTCAGTAATGAAGTAATATCACAAAAGTAAGTAGATTAATAAGCTGAAGATACTTCCCTGGATTGAATTTGACAGAGGAGCTAAACAAAGTAAGGAACCATGCTTTCACTGACAGCCCATTTGTAGATATGTGGGAATATCAGCCTCCTGGAAGAGCTGCTGTACGAGATTAATAGTTTCATTATAAAAGAAAGAAGAAAAGAAAGAAGTGGCATGATTGATATTTTTTTCTCTTCATCAGCCAGAGCAGGAATGTCTAGGAAACAACAAATTCCCATGGCTGGATGGGATAAGTGGTCTTGCAGCAGAAGAATTGTAGCCTTGCATGCTCCTGGTCTCTTTTATACTCCTCTTCCCTATAATAGGGAGCGTTCACATAGAAGGTTTTAATGCATTTTCCAATAGAAGACCGCATTCAGTCCCCCGTCACTCAGTAATAGGCTCATGAGATGGAAGAACCACTGAGGATAAGGAATTCTCTCAGATACCCAACAGCCTTGATAAAGGATCCATAGAATTAGAATGTGAAGTGTTGGAGATATCAAATGTACAGAAAATGATTTATGCTGGAAAAGGCATACATTCTGTGCCAAAAATGTATTATACATGCTGATGATAGAAGTAAAGTTGGTGAAAGAATTTGGAGCAATATCTTCTGCCATTATCCATAATATTGTTAGAAAACATGGAAACTGCATGTTGACATTGCTGCAACTTTAAACATTTCTGCTTTTTTCCTGCTAACATCCTCTGATAACAGAATATTTGGAGATAGCACGAATGTTAGTGAACAGAACTAATGAAGTGAGCAGTGTTTGTGAGCCACAATTATCACTTTTAATTCTCATTCGGAGATTTTAAAGTATTTTGGGCTCTAGCAATATTTGTTTTCCAGCCTTAGGCACTGGAACCTATGAGACCAAGTAGCATATACAACTGGGAATGATGTGTGGTGGGAAGAGATCATAATGATAGTTACAAACTGGTTAGAAATTTAATTTGAATAGGTTTGTGGTATGAAAAGGATTCAGTCTTTCTATCTCTCTTTCAGGCATTGAAAACCTGCCCTGTGAATTACAGAGAAACTTCCAACTTATGCGTGAACTGGATCAGAGAACAGAAGGTATATTCAAATATACTAACTCAGATCTATTTCAGATAATGCAGGGATACAGTTGTTTGTTCTAGAATCACATGTAGCCTTTTGTCTAATTTAAAAAGGCCTTCGCAAAAAATCAGTTCAGAATCATGGTAAGAGATACACTTCCTCTCCTACACTTTATTCTTGGAAGAGAGTTGAAAGAGTATCAGAAAGAGAATGAGAGAAAAAAGAGGCTTACAAAAAGAATGACTATGTACTTTTGGTTCTAATCCCATTCACTGTTTTAAGCTGTATCTTTCATGGTGCCTTCAAAACAATATATTTCTCATTTTGTTCCTAAGTAATATAGCCTTTAATAGAAAGAAAGGTTTCCCACTTTTGATGTAATGTATATTTACCTAGTGATAGATTTAGATAGATTTGAGAAGACAAGTTTAAGGGCTCGCCATACATTTTAAAACTAAAAGTCAAACAATTAACTTTCTCATCTTGGAAATAACTAGTGATAAGAATCAAATTATTGAATATTTTATTTTTGTATATGACATGTTTTAAAGGACAAACAGTGCAGTGCTGGTACTGCAGTGCTATTTATTAGCAAAAAGTATATTAGAAGTAGCCATTTTCTTTAATTTTGGTTCTCTGCTTGCATATGGGAAACAAGTACTGTATTTGAATTTATAAGATATTGTTGGAAAACAGTTGTTTAAATCAAACTATTTCAGAAGTCTGAATACAAAGGGATGTTTTCTTCTAGCAGCAGAAATTTAAAATTTTAATCCTCAAAATTATTATTCTAGTCATTTACATTCAGAGAGTCAAATAATACTCTAGTCTTTCCTTAACTAGCTGGTTTTTGAAGTGAAAGTATTTAGCTCTCTTCTAATGTTAGTGTTTGTTTAGCATCTCAAATCACACATGATATATCCAGTAATAGGCTCCATCCATCTGGTAATATGCTTAAAGATTTTGTGGTAAAAAGATGGTTGCCAGTGAGTTAGTAAGTTGAGGTAAGTTCATTGGAAATTGAAACACTTAAATTTTAGAAATTACAGTGCCAAAGACTTTTAAAATGATATTTTAGGATTGTAATTTCCATCCTAGATTTTAAAATACATATTTGTTAAATAATATTCTTAAAATAAGAAATAAGTTTTGTTTTGTATGGTTCTTGAAACATTTCAGTTATAAAATACAATTAGAATACTGTGTTTATGTGAAAATAAATCCCAATCAGATTAATAAAACCCTCTGATAAATGAACTCCTAGCAATAGCATTGAAACACATTTTCTTATTTCTCTACTTCATTTAATTCTTTGATGCTTTTTGGTATGATGAAGTTTGGATTGCAGTTTCAATTTTATACTTATACTGTTTCTCATTGTCCTTCAGACAAGAAAGCAGAAATTGATAGTCTTGCTGCACAATATATTTCAACGGTGCGGGATCTGTCATCAGAGCAACGAGTGGAAATCTTGCAGAAGATCCAAAATGCTTATACAAAATGCAAAGAGTATAGTGATGACAAAGTGCAGTTGGCCATGCAGACCTACGAGATGGTAAGATTAAATAGAGCAATGATACTGCAGAAGACCAAGACAGTGCCTATGTTATGATATCCCTTAACTAATCTTTTAGCTTGTCTTTCAGATGGCAACTTTTTAAAAATATTTAGCAACTATTCACTGACAAATGGAGGAGCTATGCTGGACTTCAGCTAACACCTATCATGCATTTTCTGATTCGGGGATTGTGTATAAATAGTACTGTTTCCTCATTTAGTCTTTTGCAAAATGAAAAACAGTAAAAATGTGAAGTCTAGAATAAATACTGTATGATAAGTAATTATATTTGTTAGAAATAAATTTATCAAAATTGTCTCTTCAGCCATATTTCTGGAATGGATTATTGATTAGAATTTCATTGAGGAATATATTAACAGCTATGAAACAATTGGTATTCACACATTGAACTAAGTCATGATTTTTGACCCTGACTTATTGATAGGTATAATAGCTATATTGTGCACATTTGACATTGAGACATAACTGATAGATAACATTCCTTTGTTTCTGCATTTATAGAAAAAAGTTTCCAATGTCTGGAAAAAAAAGAATTGTAACCATCACATATATATTTGTTACTGCTATGAAGCTTCAGAACTATGAATTTAGTATACCTGCTTGCTACACTAGTAACCACATATTTTCATGTGGTTTATAAAATTATAAAGATATATACAATATATGAGTATTGCATATTCTGTTATTTAAAATTAATGAAATATTGAAAAAAATGACCTAATACTATATTGTTTATCAATTAAGTATCAATCTGATGCTTTCTTTTTTCTCTTCCTGTTTTTCCTTTTCTTAAAAATCTTTAATTAAAATAATGTAATGGTAGGAAGGGACATTATTAATCTAGTTTTAAGAATCCCTTATTATAACATTAGACGGCCATTTAGGCTACGTTTATATCCTTTCAGTGAAGGAAAGTATTCTGCCTCTTGAGACAGTTCTGTTGTTAAACAACTGTTATGATTAGGAAATTATCCGATATCCAACCAAAATCTGATTCCTATTCTTATTTTACCGTCTAAACATGTATAGCCAAACTTCTACTTAATATTTTATTACAGAAAACTGTTTGATTTTTAATTAAAATACTATTTAAGAAAATTTGTTTTCTTCAGCTCTGTGGTGTATCTGTCTGTTTCAGGTGGACAAGCACATTCGACGGCTAGATGCTGACCTTGCCCGATTTGAAGCTGATCTGAAGGATAAATTGGAAGGCAGTGATTTTGAAAGCCCTGTGACACAAAACTTAAAAAGTATGGATATTGTGACTAATATGATAGAGTCTTTAGAACTTGAATTAATTTTTTAATCAGCTTCAGCCAACAATCTTGGTCCTTGGGATGTGTATACATATTTGTATATGGGGAAGTTTGTTATATGAGGAAGTATATGACTGATGATATAATTACATACTCAAATACTGGAATGGAGGAAAAAAAGGCTATTTATCTGACCAAACATAATTTATGAGATAAATTGTCTTCAGGAGAGAAAAATGAGAAGGATCCAGGGATGCAGTTTTTCTGATTTGGCACGTCTCCTTTGTACAGGTAGTCCTTGACTTACAACCATTTGTTTAGTGACTGTTTGAAATTACAGCGGCACTGACTTATTGTTTTTCATACTTAAGACTTGCAGCATCTCCATGGTCACATGATCAAATTTGCTGTTTAGCGTTTGGCTCATTTATGACAATTGCAGTATCCTGGGGTCATGTGATCAATTGTGACCTTTTGACAAAGTCAATAGGGAGGTCAGGCTCACTTAACAACCTTGCTACTAACTTAACTATGGTGATTCACTTAACAGTGGCAAAAAAGTTGTAAAATGGGGGAAAACTAACTTAACAACTGTTGCTTAGTAATGGAAAGTTTGGTCTCAATTGTAGTCATAAGTCGAGGTTTACATGTACTTCAAATTGATGTTTTCAGTTAGGCAGATTTTGTGAAGAGAAGTTGTTTGAACTAGACATATCAATCTTCTTTAACAGGACTCCTTAGCTGCCAAGAGAGTGATAATCCGTGAAACAATTTGAGGGAAACTGTATTCTAGAAATCATCCAGATTCCTGCAGGATCAAGCCGTGAATAATAAAAATTAAGAATAAATAAATAAGCAATGAAATTGTAGATGAAATCCCTCAGCTTTACTCATTGCACTAATTTGTATTTGAAATCCTGCCAGCAGGTGACCAAACAAGAAGGAGATTTGGGAATCTACCAAACACTGTTCTGAAATTATACCATATTAATTAGTGTCAGGGTAACAACAGTGCTATGGTGCAATAATAGGTTATAGGAGCAGCTTGGTTTGTATCAATATACTTTCCTTTATGATTGGAAAGGAGGAAAGTATATTAATGTGGCCTTGAGGAAGTGCCTTATGACAACACTTCCTATAAGAAAAGCTTACTTCTTGCCCTGAACACCTATGAGAAAAATTCTCAATTAAAAATTGCATTGGAGAAAAGCCTCCTGTGATAATATTAGTCCACATGTCTAAAAACAAAATTATACTATTTTCCTTAACAATGTACTTAATGAAAAATACTTGTATTTTAGAGGGGAGAATTCCAAAGGATAAGAAAACCTCCCGTGGTCGAGGCCGGCGGACATCAGAGGAAGAAGTTCCAGTGAAAAAGAAACCAAAAAGAAGGTTAGAAATTAGTAGAGACTATAGTCAAGAGTTTTGGGGTTGGGTTTTTTTTCCCCCAAAGTCAACTTGCAATAGAAACACTTTTTCATTTCAGACTCCAAGAAAGTATTGTAGGGTATGTATATTTTGGATTGTAGCTTTTGATGAGAAGGAAAAATCCCATTCACACAAAATATTTCAAAATTATGCAAATTGGATCTATCAGTCTATAAAGAATTGACAGAAACGAGTAAAGTTTAGGAACCCAATCTCTGAACAACTGGAGAAAAGCAAGAAAAATCCTTTCCAGGTAGGCTTAAAAAGGAAGAAGGGAAATTCCATTTTGCCTTCCTTCTCTTCTAGCTGGCTTCAAATGGGGTTTTAAAAAACCCACCCAATCTGGTCAAGGGTTGGAGAACAAGCAGAAAACAGCTATTGGGAATATCAATCCCTAGTTTAAATATCCTAGCTCACAGACAGTAGTGCCTGTATGCTTGGTTTTTTTTTAAAAAAAAAAGCATTGGTTGCAATTGTAGCATATGGGCAAAATGTGTCCAAACTAATTGGTACTGTCCATACCTTTAGCAGGAAATACTACAAGGAGATGAAATTGTAAGTTTATGAATGAAACTGTAGGTATCCTAAAGGAACCAATGGCATCATCTAAATGATTACAGATGCACATTGAAGTAGAAAACCATAGATCTGTGACTCTGTTATGCTGCAGTGAATAGAGTAGAAGAGAATGTTTTTATTGGATGACATAAATTTATGAGTGAGAGCAAGATAAAACAGTACAGAAAAAATGTTTAAGCTATTCAAAAATCCAATGGTGGTGTCTTTCTGCTATGTATCATCTTTGAAAAAGTTCTGTTGATTATAACATTTGAACATAAGATCATACATATTTGTATCCTTGAATGTTCTTCCAGGGATTTGAAGAGTCTTGTCTTGTTCACTTCTTTTTTTCTAAAGAATGAAACATAAGAAATAGTGTCTATTCATAGAATTTACTTTCCAGCCCTTTGATCATTCTCCTAGCCTTTCTGAACCCAGTGCAGTATCTTGAATTCTTTCTGGTGTATTAATATTGTATTAAATTTTATTTCTGGCTTGAAACATTATATTACAAGTAGTCCTCGACGTATGACCACAATTGAGCCTAACATTTATGATGTTAAGTGAGACCATTAAGTGAGTTTTGCCCCATTTTACAACCTTTTCTGCCACAGTTGTTAAGAGAATCACTGCAGTTGTTAATTTAGCAATAGTTTTTAACTGAATCTGGTTTTCCCGTTGATTTTGCTTGTCAGAAGGTCGCACAGGTGATCACATGACCCCAGGACACTGCAACTATCATGAGTCAGTTGCCAAGCAGCTGAATTTTGATCATATGACCATGGGGATGCTACAATAGTTGTAAATGCAAAAAACGGTCATAAGTCACTTTTTCAGTGCTGTTCTAACTTTGGTTACTAAACTAATGGCTGTAAGTCAAGGACTACTTGTACTATTTTGTTTTGTCTGCAGGCTTGTTGAGCATGTTCTCTTCTTTCAAGTCGTTAATAAAAATGTTAAGAAATAGAAGGGATATTGCCCACTAATTGTCAACCTATCCTGACCTCATCAACTTGCTAATCAGAATATCATGGAATACTTTGTCAGGTGTTTTGCTGAAATCATGATATAGGATGCACAGCATTCTCACAATTCATTAAGGATGTTTGTTGATTTAAAAAATGCAATAGAGTTAGTTTGGCAATTCAAAAAAATCAGTTTTTGAACCCCTTCTAGTTAATGACAAATTCTTAACATTCTGAATTACTGAGTCACTGACATTCACCCATTTCCATTGAATTTATATCATAGCAGGTCTGAATTAGCGGATACCATCCTGTCGGTTCACCCTTCTGATGTCTTGGACATGCCAGTGGATCCCAATGAACCCACATACTGCTTGTGCCATCAAGTATCTTATGGAGAAATGATTGGGTGTGACAACCCCGATGTGAGTATTGAAATAAACCAAAGTATGACAAATGCTATCCATTTGTGCTATGAGTTGAAATTTGCTGTCTAAACCAAAAACAACTGCCAGTCCAATATAGGATTCTTCATAAAATCACAAACCATCCCTGGTTCTTGCAAAGTGTTAGAACATTAAGTCATCTTGTACCCTTCCAGGAAATACAATTTATTTTGCAAGAATTTGTATTGCAAATGTGGAAGAAGCAACACTGCAGTAGCTATTTAAAATTACACTGATGTATAGGTTTAAAGGAAAGAAAAAGAAGATGCAAAGTAAAAAAAAAATCACAGCCATAGTAACACCATGGAGAGTTTCTGCAGACTTTTTGTTACACAATTTTGGAAAAGGTCAGTTATATTTTTTAATTTGAAAAAAATCTATATGTTAACATTCTCTGCATATCGTTGCTCCATATTTCATACTGCATAGCTGTCACAAACACACAGAATACATACTATTATGAAATCACGAATATATTATCCGTGTTTTCCTTTGCTGTAAAGAATAAGCCGTGTGATTCTACCATGTAAGCATTTTGCAGTAAAGAATATTGTAATAAAATTTGCTATTTCTGCATGTGATACGGAAGGACCAGTTAGCCAAACTCATGTTGCTTACAAGACTGATGAGGAAAACATAATGCCATTCATCTTTTTTTCAACCCCAAATATAGTGTCCAATTGAATGGTTTCACTTTGCTTGTGTGGATCTCACAACCAAACCCAAAGGAAAATGGTATGTACCATGAATTGTTTACTTTTGGTTCCCCTATTTTCTTTATAGATCATTTGTCCCAAGAAGGTTGAAAATACTATTGCTAAGATATATTTGATTCAGCGCTTTCTATATTATTGTGGAAGAGCTATCCTTTGATATCTGAGGTTATAATATAAGGCAACTCTTCCTCAATCTAGCAACCTTCTGGATGTGCTGGAAATTATAGTCTCAACGTATTTGTCAGGTACCAATTTAGGGAAGAGTGGTCTGATGCAATTACTGTAAGCATATCTGTTGGGAAACATATTCCACTAAATTTAGGAACGTATATAATTTAACAAATTGCTCGTATGAAGAAATTCCTTCATTTGCAAATATCACTGAAATCTGTGAGACTTATATTCTAGGATTTATACATCTGCGTATTTGCAAATTTAAATTGGCAAATTAAAAAAAACTACATATCCACACACGTAATATACTATACATATCTTATGTGGTCTAGGATGTTTAGGCCAACATAGAGAGATATGTGTATGGAATGAATGAATGAATGAATGAAAATAGGGGCGTGAATATGTCTGTGATAATATTAATAGGGGACATGAGACCTCCAATGTTCCTTGTGCTAATCTATTCATAAATCAATGTATTCCTTTGTCAAATAGCAGTGGTTTCATAGGGCTAAATATAATGCTTCTCTTTTTTTAGGTACTGTCCTCGCTGTGCGCAGGAGAAGAAGAAGAAGTAAAAATGATGTATCGTATGAAAAAAAGTTTAATATATTCATATGTTGCAGTATTTTGTTTTCATCACCCATCTTGTTTGGCCTGAAACAATGTGGTAGCAAGATGTTCTTTATTAGCCATACGAATGACAAAAGTGGCGTATACAGAAAGTTCATTAGTGATGATTAGTTGGGTTACAAAGTACACTTCTTCGTCACTGTAATCCAAGATATGAAGTACTTAAGAGTAGGTCTGCACTGGAATTTCTGCTAATATATTATATATATAACCTGTGAAAACTGCCTGTGGCCTTTCATGTGAAGAAAATGGCATCTTTTGTCACGAAATGTAGTCACTTTGGGAAACTTTCACCAGTACCATTTCAGTGGCAGAATGACATGTTTCTCTTGTATTTCCCAATGCATCCTCTAAAATTATTTTAGAGGTTTGGAATGAGCATTGGGAAACAGGTTCAGAATGAAGTATGAGTCCTGTATATGAGAAGGATAGGCTTGCATAATTTTTGATGCAGGCCTTTGCACAATAATTTTATGAAGTCTTTTAAATCCAGTATCAAAACCTTTATCGTTGTTGATAAGATGTGGAATCACATAGTTCATTTTTGCAGGTAGATTTTCCATTTGTATAACATTGGATTCTGTCACAGAGTGGGTTGAGATTTTCAATGTGCAATTTTGCCACTTTGGAATAAGTTTGCAAAGTTATATTTCACACAAAGAAATTGTTTTTGATTAGGAGAGTTCACAATGCTTATTTCAAAATGCTTGTTGTTTCTGTGTACTGTCCCCTCTGAGCTTCATTCTGGTTTCACTGAAACTGGATGCATTGCTGTCATTCTTACTGATAAGCAATACCTGTGATATCAGTATGGTATAAATCCCTCATAAAATAAGATTTAATATTTTAAAATAGGTTTGGGTTAACAAACAAAGGAACAGGAAGACTAGTTTTCAGGGAATAATGTTTTATAAAATGAGAAGTTCCCATAACTGCACAAAAGTGTTAAATAGAATGTTATGCAGTACGTTCATGTTCTGACTTCACTGAGATACTTTCTACTACCCACTGTAAATATTAACGTTCTTTTCTGAGTTTCTCAGGTAAGAGAGAGGCATTCCTCCCACCACACACACACACACACACACACACACATATACAAAACGATTTTTGTTGTCCACCTGTCATTCTCTCATAGATAGGTCAAGTTTGCATGCTTTTGTATATTTCATAAACCTGAAAATTCTGTTCAGCTAGACAAAAACACTCTTGTTCGCCAAGGATTCTGCCATATTACCTTCAGCTTTTAGATAGTATATTTTAATTTTTTTTTAAGTAAAAAGTGAAGTCGGTTTAAATGGAGGAATATCCTTTTGAAAATATCCAGTTGCCTAATTTGCTAGAATTGGTTTTAGCTTGTAATGTAAAAATGATTGCCAAAAATGTTAGCAATCAATACCTTTCTTAAAACACCGTTATATCTGCAGTATCCAAATGAATCCCATTTCAGCCTGGAAAAGTTGATCTCTAGAATGTTGCAAAACTCTCAAAATTGTTAGTTTACATTTAGAAAAAAAAACCTCTTATAAGAGTTTGGTTTTTATTATGGAAGAATGCAAATTCTTATAGTTTTGTACACACAATTTTGTAGTTAGTAATGCAGTTCAGTTACAGTATTTGTACCATTTTATGTATTCTGTAACTGTACTTGCTTTCTAAAAATGAAAACTGCATTATTTTCCTAAGAAGGAGAGGAAAAAATAACATTATAGTATTTATGCCGTAGGGTCCTTATATGCTTCTGGAATGTCATATTGCTATACAGTGGTACTTCAGTACTCGTTTCTGGGAGGTGCAATGAGTACAAAAAAAAAAAAAAATCCCCATAAGGAATAATGTCAATAAATTCAATACATTCCCAAACCAAAAACTGCACATTTTAAGGCAATATGTAAAAAGCTAGGATTGTATATCATTACTTTCCATGAAAACAAACCTAAAAATTAGTAAATACTTAGATTAAATAAAATAAAAGCTTCACTGTAACTTTACTGATGAGGGAAAGAAATGCAGAAATACACAAGATGACTGCGGAAATTAAGATAAGACTGTAAGGTGATGTGCACAGGGCAGGGGCTATCAAGTGACTAACAGGTCACCCTTTGTTTTGGCTGGAAAAGTTAGTGAATCATGAGGCAACTGACACCTTGCGTATTGAGTACCAAACAAACGGGACAAATTTTTCTCATCAGAATGCATCAAGCACCAAATTTGATGAGTTTCAAAGCAGTTGAGTGCCAAGGTACCAATGTATAGTGTCTCTTTTAAACGTTAAGGAATTTCAGAAGACAGGCTTTGTTCCAAGTCGGATTCTTAAGATACTGCAAAAGAGATAAAACAAAGCACCGATAATTCTTTTTATAAAAGAGGAGGAGTCATTAGAGCTCTGGAGTCATAAAAGGGTAGTCTATGGCCATATAAATGTTAGATAATTCCTATCATCCCTTACATTGTTTAGTCTGATTAAAGTTGACAGATATCGGGAATCAGTAGAATCTGGAGGATCATACTGTATCTATTTCTGCCCTAAGTTATGATAAAATTCCTAGAAGTGAGCAAAAGATAAATGTGAAATTGTGGGTGTACTATATTGATCTGCTATAAAATAAAGTGTGCCTCTGTAGGTAGTGATGTATGATGACATTATACTACAATAGCAGTTACTTTTAAATTATGTTTTTCCTGTCAGTAAAGAGTACAGTACTATAGGTTGATGGAAAAGCTCTTTTTATGTAATTCCAACAATTACTGCTGCTACATGGTTCCTGAAGCAAATTAACATTGTTAATTTAATAAACAAGATTTAAACTCAATTCTTCAATCCCAAGGAATTAGGTATTTAGTATGCGTGAGTGAGTGAGTAAAAAACCATCCAATTTTTGAAAAATGATATGGGACTGAGCAATTGTTCCATGTTGACTTGTCTATTTTGAAAGAAGGCTTTGCATTGATACCAACTAGTTTATATTTGAAGTTTTAAAATCCATATTGGTTTTGAACTTGTTATCTTGATTCTTGTCTTTTGAGAAACTATTCTGAATATTGCTTGTACAGTATCCTGTTCCATTATTGAAACTTGAACGTGAGGAGCTGAATACATGTTTAAAAAAATAAAAAACTCCATTTTTCAAAAAGAAATGTTATCTTTTCCCCATTGTTCCTCATAAATGTCACAGCCTAAATTTTCTAGTTATAGCTTTAGATTTATGTTTCCTTTGTAAATGAAGAGAATATTATAAATCTTTTTATTAAAATGTGAGATGTATTTTTGATCATGTTATGGATATATTAGGTATATTATTATAAATAAAGTATTTTTGAGAACAAATATGTGGATATATTTTGTTTCTGAGAAAGAAAATAGTGCACAAACTAGAAGTGAATTTGTTTTGCAAACCAAATTCTATCTATCTATCTATCTATCTATCATCTATCTCAGGTTTGAACTTTTAAGTCACGCTTCAACGTTCTCTGGAATAAAACGCAGTTGTGTAGTTGACTTATTTTAAGCTCCATTCCAGGAACCCTTTGAATTTCACTTTTATGTTTTACACTAAATCTGGAGTATAAGTGATATTTGAAATGGAATTAACCCATTTTCACCACTGTATAACATTATCTTAAAGAAAATATGGAAGAAGCATCATTGGCTTTGACCAGTTTCATTCCATTCTTCTTGTTCAAAACATCTAGCTCAGTTGTACATTTGATGGCATAACCACTTTAAATTCATCCACACTTCTAGCAGTTGTTTCAGTCACAACATTTAATTTCCTGTCTATTTCTAAAGAGTAAAATTCAGCCCTTACTATTCTAATGATTAATCTCCCTGCATTGGAGGATTTATCAGATCAATACTTCCTTAGGGTGATTACAGGATTTTGTAATCCTCCAATAAATGTTTACGTTTCTAAATTTGGCTTTTATTTTAGTTGGAGATTTTAAATCCAAGTAAAATACTGATGACAAATCTCTATTTTTGCAAGTCCATTCACTTCAATCTTTTATTACGGCTATAGACCAAAATAGAAATTAAAACATTAAAATAGAACAGAAAACATAATGGTTATTAGAATTAATGATGGGATCATCGATGGTAGCCAAAGTCTGCCTTACTTTACAGATAACAGAATTTAGCTATGTTCAGAGATGCTGATCTGATAGTAATAACTAATAAAAGAGAGACTTTCTGTGATATTTGTCTGGTAAGGAGATATGAGTCAGTCCTAACAGAGGGTGCAATGTAACAGGATAAGAGCTATGGTTTGAGTGATCCCTTATCCACGGGTACATTCTCTTCTCACATGGGACTTCCAATGTGGAGAGTGTTTCAATGTGTTCCGAATTTTTTATTTTAACTTCCCAAATGTTTATGCTGATAAACATAAAGCATGATAAACATTTTACAAACTTTGTTGGAAAAGGAAAAGTGCTAGAAAAATACTTTTACAATTTAAATAATGGTTTATTTAAATGGTTAAAGTTAATGAAATAAAATTGCTAAGATTTCAGTTTTCAGAATTCACTGGGCTGTAGATTAAGTAAAGCAGTGTGGGATAAAAAGAATCCTAGAACAGGTAATGCTATCATTATCTTACAACTTCCTGATTTTAATGGTGTCATAAAAATATTCCAATAAAAGAAAGAGGAAACAGCTGATAGATTGGTGGCCATACATGCAAATCCAGGTGAGATATCAGAAGGACAAAGAACAATTTGGTTTCTGCATGGAAAAGCATCAATTAGATAAAATTCTACAAGAAATGGAAAAGAAAATGATTTCAATAATATATAACTTTCTACTAGATTTTAAAATGGAAGAGGAGGTGGTCAAAGAGACCATGGTGGTATGGGCGAAAAATGTTGGCCATAATATAGACCTGGAAAATTGGGAGAGAATGTGGGGATCAAATTACAAACTAATTACATCCACAGCATACAAGGAAAATCAATGTTCTACAGATGGCACCTTCCTCCCGCTACACTGGCAAAAATGTTTAACTCAGACCTAAATTGTTGGAAATGTGGAAAACAAAAAGGCACTTATTTTCATACCTGGTGGAAGTGAAAAAATATTGGAATACAATTAGACAATGGATAGAAGAAATCATGAATCAGAAAATTGAATTGAATCTGGAAACTTTTTTTATTAGGTATAATAACACAAAAATGCAATAAAACAGATATGTTACATATATTAACAGCTGCAAGGATTTCGTACGCACAACTCTGGAAGGAAAAAAGGGTTCTACCAGAAGGCATGGTTATTAAAAAAAATAATAGATTGTATAGAGATGGACAAGCTAACAATGAAAATAAAAGACAGAAGATTCAGTCTATTATAGGGCCTGGGATGCCTGGTATGAGTGGTTTAGAAATAAAAATAAAATAAAATGGCAATTAGGAAAAGAATGAGGGAATATGTAAATATGCAAATATACCATGGAGAAGATTGAGATGTAAGGATAAAATATATTGATTTAGAGTAAGAGTAGGATGCAATGGTAAAGGAATAAGTAAATACATATACTGAAAATATGTGAGGAAATGCAAAAGATGTCTTGATGTTGATAACAATGTATAAAGTTTTGTTTTGTTTTTTAAAATTTGGAAATTTAATAAAATTTATTTTAAAAAAAGAAAGAGGAAACAGCAATACAATAAACAATTCTTACTTTAAGATTCAGAAGTTTATTTCATGAGCAATTTGGAACATGAACAGCCATAACACAACTTATATCAATAACCCATTGCAATGAGGTCCAGCAAGGAAGAGCTACGGCCAGTGGCCCTGAACCCATCCCAAGACATTCTTTTTATACTTTTCTGCACGAATTTCACAACTTACTTACTTGTTATTTATTTATTTATTTTATTTATTTATTTATTTGATTTGCCAATTGTTTACAAGATAATAAGTATAAGTGTATACATAGTTGTGAATACATGAAATGGGTACATATAAGAAAAATAAAAGAATAAGAGAAACAATAGGACAGGGACGGTAGGCACGTTGGTGCGCTTATGCACGCCCCCTACAGACCTCTTAGGAAAGGGGCGAGGTCAATAGTAGACAGTCTAAGGTTAAAGTTTTTGGGGTTTGGGGAAGAAACTACAGAGTCGGGTAGAGTATTCCAGACATTGACCACTCTATTGCTGAAGTCGTATTTCCTGCAATCAAGTTTGGTGCGGTTAACTTTGAGTTTGTATCTATTGTGTGCTCTTGTGTTGTTATGGTTGAAGCTGAAGTATTCATTGACAGGTAGGACATTGCAATGTATGATTTTATATACCATGCTTAAATCAGACCGAAGACGGCGTAATTCAAGGTTTTCTAGTTCTAGAATTTCAAGTCTGGTGGCATAAGGTATTCTACAACGAGTAGAGGAGTGGAGAACTCTTCTTGTGAAATATTTCTGGACTTTCTCAATTGTGCTAATATCAGATACGTAATGTGGGTTCCAGACTGATGAACTGTATTCGAGTATTGGTCTAGCAAATGTTTTGTATGCTCTGGTTAGTAGTGTGATATTACCAGAGAAAAAGCTACGTAGGATTAGGTTAACAACTCTTAATGCCTTTTTGGCTATGTAGTTGCAGTGGGCTCTAGCACTTAGATCATTAGAGGTGAGTATTCCAAGGTCCTTTACAGAGCTTGGGTCATCAACAAGTTCTTGACTATTCAGCTTGTATTTTATTTTCTGATTTTTTTTGCCAATATGTAAGACAGAGCATTTATTTGTTGAGATTTGAAGTTGCCATTTGTTTGACCATTCAGATACATAGTCAAGATCTTTTTCTAGGGTAGCAGTATTGTCTGTGGTATTGAACAGCTTTACATCATCAGCGAAAAGAACGCAATTGCTCTTAATATGATCACAGAGGTCATTTATGTAGAGTATGAAGAGAGTTGGTCCTAGAACACTGCCTTGGGGGACACCACTATTGACAGGTACAGAACGCTCCCAATTTTGACCATTTGTTGTCTGTTTGCCAGGAA